GAGGAAAGGAAAGAGAGAAAAGGAAAGAGGGGAGGGGAGGGGAGAGGAGGAAAGGAAAGGAAAGGAAAGGAAAGGAAAGGAAAGGAAAGGAAAGGAAAGGAAAGAGGGGACGGGAGGGGACACATGGCAAAGGCACCGGAAGATGCCGATGACGTGGTCAATGGTGAAGGAGACCATGCCACGCTGGAGCCCTATGGCTGCACCCATACCATCGATCTCCCAGGTGTGATCTAAGGCCAGGTGGACCGTGCTCACGATCCACACTGCCACCACTATGCCATTAGGGCACCACGGTGTGGAATTAAAATACAGCTGTGCCCACTTCCCAAGGGACACACAGACTGCTTCCACACTGCCGTCGTGGGGCTGAGTAGTTGCAAGAGAACGTGACTCACAACCCGGACCTTAACCAAGTGTATTAATCCCTGGTCTACTTCATGTCTCCTCGCTCCAGGACCAATCACGTTGGGAAGCCTTCTGGGAAGTCCTCCAGCACTAAGCAAATGCTCTGAGGTGTGACTTCCGCTCACAACTCACTGGCCAGAAGTCATCACCTGGTTTTACCCAACTGCAACGGGGCTGGAGGTGCAATCAAATTATTCGTGAACTAAAGTGGCTTCAGGTCCCCCTTCCTTTTTTCTTTTAGAATCTCACAACCCTTAAAAATGACACATCCCAGGAGCACCATGTGTGGAAATGATCTGACCAATAACCTTTTAGGAAACTCAGAAAATTGTAAAGCAAGAATAAAGACACTCCCTCCAAACAAATAAAAAGTACAAACTCTCCCTTTCTTAGACAAGTATCTTTTCTCAGTCAGCTCCCCGGTCACCAACGTGTCCTTGCAGATTTCTCTCAGCCCCTTCAGGAATGTCCTCTGTGCCCCCCTGGGCTGGGCAGGGCTTCAGCTCTGATTTACTCCTGTCACTAAGTGCAAGCTCTGATTCCTACAAATGTCCCTCAGTGACAGGCTCTGTCCTTGTCAGCACTTTGCTCCTGCCTGTGAACTAAGCCCCTCAGCTCCTGAGACAGCATTTACCACTTCCGTTTTATGTCCTCAGCTTTCCCCTCCTCCCCGCCCCTGCTCTCCCCTGGGCGGGGTCTTTACTCTCTCTCCTTCCACTGTGTTTCCCTGCATCGGTGGTTCCCACTCCTGAAATGTGCAGTCGCCTCTCCTGCGCGCCAACCTCCCCTCCTCCACCCCCAATTAGGAATCACTCCAGAATCCCCTTGAATCATCAATGGCTGCTTGTTGAGTTCTATTAAACTCAAACTGCTTATTTCTTCTTTTAATACATAGAGCACCTTCTGTTCAGATTACTTGGGGGCCCTGGCTGGCGAGGTGTATTTCAAGCTTTTAATGAGTCCAATTCAGTGTAGACTCATTTTAAGTTCTACATTTAAAGTCCTCTGATTAGCTTCACAGGAGTGGGGGGGAGTATCAGCACACTGCATTTAAAATTTCACTTCTTAACCCAGAGATATTTCAGTTTCTACTGTGATTGAAAATAAGCATCAAGTGAGACATCGTATCGTTAAAAAGAAAAACTGCAAAGGGACTAGGAAAGACCTCAGATGCAAGATAAACAAACTGAGAAGTTTAACAAGATCGCCCAGAATGGAATAGTTTCTGCCTCCTTAAGACTGTATTTATAAATGTTTTCCTAAGAGATAAATAAGCAGATTTCTGGATGACAGAAATGTTTTCTCTTTGAAGTTCTAAGCAAGATGTCTGCTCTCACAGCTCTGTCTTTGCAAATGCTTCTGTGAAAGACCTGAAATTGCTGAAGAGGCCAAGCCAACAGCTGGCACTTGGTTCCCAATGCAGAGACAGTACTCATTCCCATCACCTTCACCATTGCACGTAGTGCAACGCTGGAGTGACCAGACGTAACACACATGCGCACACGCACACATGCACGGGCCTAGGCACGCGCTCCCTTTAGCCATCTTCCGGCACAACTGTAGAGGGTCACAATGGAAAACGGAGCCAGGGAGGACAGCTGTAATTCATTCAATGCCAGCCTCCTTCCTCTACACTTATTTTTTTCTAGATGCCTTAGACAAGCTGCAGGGCTTTTCAACTGTAAAGCCATCATAATGGTAACTTTGCGGCCTGTTCCTACCAACAGAAACTTGCCATTCATAGCAGGGCATTTTCTACATAGGTGGGTCCAAGCCAGGGCCCAGAAATCCCTGTTCAAGTGAGCCCTACTTGAAAGCGCCATTCAGCTCTCCAGAGCCGTGTGCAGAAGCAAGACAACAGCAAATTCAGCAAGGACAAGACATGCCTTCTGCGGGGTCTGGCCCCATTCCTAGGGTAGGGGATTAGGACAAGCTGCCCAAACAGTAATTAACAAGGCAGGGACCATCCGAAAGCGCTCTGTGATTGGCGGTGGCACGGTGACCAGCAGAGTCAGCACACACCAGGCTGAGAATTCCTGCCTTTTCTGGGGCCTGGGGACAGGCATCTGCCCTCACCAAAAGGCAGATTCAATAAGCCAATGTGCACTTGGAATCTCCAGGAGTAGATTCTAAAAATCATGTACATAGGGAAGTACCTCTTAAATTTACTTGGTCATCCTTCACGTTGGTTCTTAATGAAGCATCTCTAAACAGACTAATACTCTTAATTGACACTGAGGAAATAACTGCTACAGAAAGAAGGTTTTTGGCGACTTCTCCCCCCACCGGTCTTCAATGTATAATTTCCTTTCAGGTTAAAGGTCTTAAGAGCACTGACACAAATATTCAGAAACACTAAATGTTATCATGATGGCATCCTCAATGTACAAGACCTGGAAGAGAATTTGGAGCTACACATCATTGCTCTCACTTTGCAACTGAGTAAACTGAAGCCCCAAGGACAAAATGCCATGTGTGGACAGACACACAGCAAGCTGGCTGGCCGTCAGGGCAGCCAAAATGTCCCATTTCCCTGGGCGCTTGACCCAGTCTCTGTCAACATCTCTTCTGACACTTCTTTTCATCATGAGAGAAAAACACTAGAAAGAGGATGAAGATATATGACAAGAAAAAGGAACTCCTTTCGCAGGCTACAAAAGGTCACCACATGCATCTGGAGACAATTTACTTACACCATGGCTGTGTACCCCTAAACAGTTCAGTGAGATTCCCTAATAGGAATATTCTAGAACATAATCATGGTAGTTGTAAAGTTCAGTAAATTTAAGTTATTCAATATTTATGTCTAATTCATCACTCATATTTCAATTATATGCTTAAAGCATTTTTCCCTCCAGTACAGGATCCAATATAGTCTATGACCAGCAATAAAATAAGGAACATAAACTGCCTCTATTAGCAAATGACGTAAGTGGTTATCTATAGAGAATGTCCTAAGAAATCTTTAAAATATATATTATTAGAACTACTGAGATTAGTAAAGTCATAGAATGCAAGCTCAATACAAAAGTCTATTGCATTTCTAAATTAACTATTAGACATCCAAATGTAAAACAATTTCATTTGCAATTGCATCAGGAAATACGTAGTGGTAAATTCTTGTTAATTATTTGTAAGATCTGTACTACTAAAAATTATAAATTGCTTTATATATATATATGTATATATATATATGAAATAAGTCAATATTGCTAAAATATACATTGATTCTTTCCCAAATTGATCTATAGATTCAATATAATCTCAATCTAAATTTTAGCAGGCTTTTTTTTATTTGTTAATTAATTCTAAAACCTACATGGAGGTCAAAAGACCCAGAATAGCATAACATTTTTTAAACAAAAGAAAAAAGTTGAAGAGCTTACACTGCCTGGTATCAAGATAATCAAGATGATCTGGACAAATAAGCACCCAGGTACATGAAGAGAATAGAGAATACAGAACAGACTCAAAAACATATAGTCAATTGATTTTCAACACAGATTTCAAGGCAATTCAAAGGGAAAAAATGAGTTTTGTTTTTGTTTTTATTTTTCAACAGATGATACTGAACCAATTGGCAAAAAAAAATAAAGGGTGATATGAAATAAGGGAGGGTGAAATAAGAGAATAAGGAAGAACAAAAAGAGAAAGAGAACCTGGATCCTTACCTCACACCAAATACAAAAATAAACTCTAATGACTCAGAGACCTAAACATTGGAGCTAAAACTAGAGAAAAACACAGTACGAAGTCTTTGTGACCTCAGGTATGGTAAAGATTAGAAACAAAGAGGGACCAGCAGGTGACGTGATAGTTAAGGTGCTGGACACTCCCATATGGCTGACCATGGTTCAAGTCCTGAAACTGGAAGCTTGCTCTCTCTCTCTCTCTCTCTCTCTCTCTCTCTCTCTGTGTGTGTGTGTGTGTGTGTGTGTGTGTGTGTCTGGTCAAATTAAAATAAATAAATAGATAGATAGATAGATAAAATTAAATAAATGAATAAATAAAATTAAATAATTTTTTTAAAAATTTTAGAAACAAAGATTATGAACCATAAAATTAAAAACTGGTAAATTGGGCTTCATCAAAATTTAAAATATTTGCTCTTAAAAGGCACTAATAATAAAATTAAAAGGGACACCACAGATTAGTAGAAAATGTTTACAAAACATGTATTTAATAAAGGACTAGTATCTAGAATACAAATACAACTTTCATGACTTAATCAACATGATTTTTTCAATGAGCAGAACATTTAAACACATGTTTTCCCCAAAGAAGATATATGAATGCCAAATAAGCACAGGAAAATACTTAGTTATTATGAAATATAAATTAAATCACAAAGAGATACCTCTATATACTCACTAGAGTAGTTAAAATTTAAAACTGATATTACCAAATGTTGACAAGAATAGGGAGCAACTGAAACTCTCATATGTTATTGCAAGAGACATAAAAGACTAAAATCATTTTGAAAAAATGATTGATTTTTCTTAGAAAATTACATATGCACTTACCCTACAATCTAGAATCCCACTCCTGGGTATGTATAAATGTAAATGTAAACATATATCCAAACAAATATTTGTATGTGCATGTTCATGGCAATTTCATCCATAACAGTTTGCAATGGGGAATAACTTAAATGTACATGAACAGGTGAAAAGAAAATAAATGATATCTATACAATGGAAGACTACCAGAATGGGGGTAGGAGGGTGATTACAAGTGAACACAACATCACAAATAAATCTCAAAGTATTATGTTGAGGAAAAGATACCAGCCACAACTTTCCATCTGTATATAACTCTGGGAAAGACAGACCTAGTCCTACAGGAATGAGCAGGTGGGTGGTTGCCTGGGAACAGGAGGAAGGACAGCTGTCTGGGATACAACACAAGCAGACCTTTGCGATCACAGCACTATCCTGTGGCGGTACTGCGGTGGTGATTGGTCGGGTGAATACCTTTGTCAAAACTTTTCAAGATGTACATTTCAAATGGATGTGTTTGACACATCCAAATTATTCCTCAAAAGTTTTTGATTTTTAAAACAGCAGCTACAGAAATAAGATTACCTTGAAAGTAAAAATAGTTAGACTGACAGTAACTTCTCAATAGAAACAATGAAAGCTAGAAGACAATAGAATGATATATTCAAAGTGCTAAAAAAAAACATAACTGCCAACATAGATCAATATTACCAGGGAAAATATTCTTCCACAATAAAAATGAAATGAAGACATTTCAGACAAATAAAATTAATGCCATTCATCCATCACAGACACTACTAAGTAGAACACAAAGGCACACGGAAGAAAGTGAGCCCCGATGGAAGGCTGAGGATGCA